GGAAAAGTGCAGCTCTTTTCCAGAAGTCCTGCACCTGAAGTGTAAGGACTAAGGGTCCCTCAGTCACCTCGGTCCTGCATGGGGTGAGGGAGTGAGGACTCTGTGAATGGCCACACCTCACTGAGAATGTGTTTGTGCTTGACTTTTCTGAGGTGTCAACTCTCCCTGGGTTGTCAGTGGTCCAGGACTAGACCTGCTGTGTACCAGGCACTGTGCTGGCCTCTGGTGGAGAGGTAATCAGGACAGGATCTGATTCATCCAGCTGTTTCTTGGAAGACCACGTCGTGAAGGAAAGTGCAGAGGTCTTGGAAAGAAGGACTCGTCATTGACGGTGTGGCTCACTGTCTCTCCATTTCCTTATTTTACCTGGGAGGAGACTGAGCCATGGCTTCCGTGGTCCATGGATTGGGCAGACTTCAACACAGCCTAGATGGATGTCCGGCAGATGCCCTCCTGCTAGTGGTGTGTGGCATTCAGGCAGCTCTGTGTCTTCTTCCTCTCTCCCCACCTCCCCTTATATCGTGAGTGGCTTGTCTGCTCTGGGTTGGAGAAGCACTTGGCTCAAAGTACTGCCCATGGTGTGGACAGTACAGGCTGGGATGTGTGTTCCTTGGCCACTTTGGGCTCAAGGTAGCATTTGTGCTGTTAGATTTGATGTTGGATTTAGTATTTTTGGCCTTCAGCTCTCTGGTCAAGCACTTTTGGCCAGTGACAGACTGTAAAATGCACTGGAAATGCAGTCTGTTTATGAGACCTGCAAAGCCAGTCGCAGTTGTGGATGCTGCTGTCCTTGGTGACAATTAGAATCATTGCCCTTGTCTGTCTTTTTAGACTTTGGCAGTCACAAAGGGGACAGTGGGGGTGACACATCTGTGTCACTTCCCTGCCTAGGAAATGTACTGGCTGCTCATTTGATATTTATTTATTTATTTTTATTTATTTATTTATTTTTAAAGCCTACAGCACCCGATATTCCCAGGCAGTTTCCCATCCAAGTACTAAGCAGGCCCAACCCTGCTTAGCTTCCGAGATCAGACGAGATCGGGCGCGTTCAGGGTGGTGTGGCCGCAGACGATCATTTGATATTAAGACAGGTCAGGCCGGGCGCGGTGGCTCAAGCCTGTAATCCCAGCACTTTGGGAGGCCGAGGCGGGTGGATCACGAGGTCAAGAGATCGAGACCATCCTGGTCAACATAGTGAAAGCCCGTCTCTACTAAAACTACAAAAAATTAGCTGGGCATGGTGGCGCGTGCCTGTAATCCCAGCTACTCAGGAGGCTGAGGCAGGAGAATTGCCTGAACCCAGGAGGCGGAGGTTGCGGTGAGCCGAGATCGCGCCATTGCACTCCAGCCTGGGTAACAAGAGTGAAACTCCGTCTCAAAAAAAAAAAAAGACAGGTCACCGCATCTACCCACTGTGGTGAACATGAGTGCCCATCATTAAAACGCATGTTAACGCACAAGCCTTCCAAAAGCAAAACAAATCAGAAAGTAATGTGATATTGCTTCCTCTCCAAGACATCCAGCCACCCAGCTATCCAGAATGTGGGATTGTGTGGATGGCTGTGTTTTGTTCTGTGACAAAATGGGGCCAGCTGGAAAAAAGGTGTGCTTACTGTTTCCAAGATGACTCTTAGGGTCGTGGATAGAGTCCTTGCTGTTTGGGCAGATGCTTTTTACAGGGAAGGGAGGAGAGGGTGAAGTCAGCACCGGAATTGTGGCCCCCAAGGAGGTCACACAGGTGAGCATGAGGCTCTCCTGGTGTGCCTGAGACAACGAGTTGTGATTCACACATGCACCTGGGAGTCAAACCCTGACCTCATCACTGCCCAGGAGCCCTACCACCCCCTCCAGAAGGGCCTTCATGCACCCCCAGCCCTTCCTGTTTTGGTGCTTCCCCACATGAGACTGGTCTTGACTCTTTTCCGGTTTTCTGGGGATGCACTCCCATAGTCACCCTCTGGGTGTTTTGGGATTTGCCGCTGGGGTGTACTGGTGTGCCTCTGAGTGGTGTGCACCAGTGCTTCTCGCCTGTCAGACATCTCGCAGCCTCCACTTTGGGGCTGGTGTGAGCACCATTGCTGTGCAGGTCCCTGCAGATGTCTCCAAGTGGGCATAGGTCAGCATTTCTCTTGGGAAACACTCGATTTGAACTGCAGGGTACAAATTCTCTGAATGGTTAGTGGTTTTAAAGAAACAACTGTGCTTTCCCCTCAAAATGGTCTGTGCTATTCACACTCAGGTGCAGCAGTCCAGCACTCCATCTTCATTTGGTGTTCCCTGTCTTTATGGTTTTAGCCACTGGGTCCTCAGAGAGGTCAGGGTCCAGGCCCTAACCTGTGTGTGTGGCTGTGCCTTAAGCCCTTCACCCTTGTCCCTCTGTGATGGAAGCACGAGGCCAGGCAGAAGAGCCCCTTGTGCTCATCACATAGCGGATGCTGGGACGGACAGTCGCTGCTGCCACAGAACGCCTATCATTGTTGTGTTGGCTGCCTGTTTACGGGTGGAGGGGATGTCTTCACAGCGGTGTGCAGAGCTGAGCCTCCACCCCTGCTCTCAGGACCATGCCTCGCCGCAGCTGTGCCTGACCCGTCGGCCGGCTGTCTGCAGGAATGCACGTCCTTGAGTGAGATGGACGATGGACGAATGTGGCCCAGCTGTCGACATGAGGGCCCAGGAAAGGGCTGGGTTCTCACAGCCCAGGGGCATGGTTTGTGACCCTCGCACTGGCTGCCTCCTACAGCCCTCCTGACACGGATTGAACCCCTAAACCCCCATCAGGGTGCCAGAGCTTTGGAAGTGCTGCAGAAAGAAGCCTTTTTCCTTCTGTGTGTCCACTGGCCTGTCCCAGTGCCAGTGGTGAGGCAAGGGGCTCCAGGGGCGGGGCACTCTGTGGACAGCTCTCTGGAGCCCCCTCCCCCGCTGCCCCAGCCCCTCCCCAGCACCTGTCGAGGGCTGGCTGCTGCCTTTGACTTGCTAATTCTCTGTCTGCTGCTGGGCAACTTCCAGAAGAGGCTGGTTGGCCCCAGGGAGCGCCTTCACCAGCTCCAACCAGAAATCCACAACCTGTGGGCATTTCCTAACTCTTGGGAGCTGAGAGGTACGTTCCCTTGGGAATCTGTTTCTGTGCGCCCTTCCCTGCTTTAGTCACCGACCCTCCAAACCTCAGCAGCCACCGTCCGTCTCCTCCTAGTTCTCTATGTCACCCCTTTCCTGCAGGCTCCTCATCCCATTTCTCTTTATTTGGGACTCTGTCTAATCCCTGAAATTGCTGAAATGTGAGGGGTTCACCTGTACTTCTAAGAATGATTAGATTATTTAGGGGCACCAGGATAACAGACTGCCCTGTTTCTAACTCCCCAAGTACTCAGCTCACACAAGGGCCATAGCGTGAGCCAGCCCCCTGTCAGGTCAAAGAGCATCGCTTCTAGTCTTCCTGAACTTCCAGCTTCTCCAAGGTGTTGCCAGCTCCCTGTTGCCTTTAGACGCCCTCCTCTGGTCATGGAGGGGACTTAGGATCCCTGACTTTGGACAGTGCAGGCTCTCTGGGGATGTCATTGTCCTGCGGTGGCCACACTCTGTATGGACATTGAGGAGATCACCAGTAAATGCTTGGCCTTCTCTGTCCGAGCTCCTCTCACACATCTGTCATTTGAGCAGATGTGCAGATTAGGCAGACCCCTTCCTTTTTAAATGACTTGCTTTCTGTTTTGCTGTTGTGGCTTCTTATATCTCCTCCCAGCATGTATTCCTGCCGTTGCCTTATTTGTCACTCACCGACAGGCTCCTCTTCCTGTAACTGATGCGCCAGCTGCTGTAGCGGGTTATTTAAATATCCCATCTACCTGACCAGTGCTCCGCTTTGCCTGCTGAAACGGAGTTCAGTTATGTTGCTTTTCAGTCTGCAGCCAGTTTCCCTGCCATGCTGCGAGCAGTTGCACCGTAACCAAACTGGAGGTTACGGGTCTGCTTCTGAATGCTCCCTAGACTGAGAGAGCTAGTCCTGTCCCTCATGGTCCCCTAACCTGGTGGAGTCGGGTGAAGGGCAATAGGGCCAGGCCTTGGGGGTCTCTGTGTGCAGAACACGTAGAAACAGGAGTGGATGCCCAGGAACTCGCAGGGGCATGTGTGATCCCGGGTGGGACAGGCAGGCATCACACCGAGGAGGGCGGTATTCTCCCAGTTAGCAGAATGTGCCCTGGGAGAAAAGCAAAGCCTACCTGGTTAGAAGAGATCTTTTTGAGTTTTTTCTTCTCTTAAGATGAGCATATGAATTATAATTTGTAAGCCTGAGGGGGCAGCTGGTGGTATAAAAAGAACGTGGTATAAACAGCCCAGATCAGCCGTGTACCGAACCTATGTGTGGCCTGGGACACTCCACCCCTCCTTTGTGAACACCTCTTGTCTCCTCTGTGAACCAAGGCTCCACCATAGTGTAAAGTCACAGTGCTGATGGGAAGAACCCCCAAGAGAGGAAGGCAGGGTAATGCCTGAAGCCAGGCTGAATCAGCTGCCTTTGGAGATGCTGAGTTCTCTGTGGTTGAGGCTCGGGCAGATGCCACCGTTCTCCCTGGAGGGTGGGAAACAAGGGAGGGGACGGACCTCTGATAGGTGGAGAGGTGGAAGACATAACACATGTTGCTATGTGCCTCCTTTGCTTGGGACTGGTGCCATAGGACTGCAGATTTTTAGAGCTTATATCTTTAAAAATAGTTGTGTTGTAATCAAATTGAAAAGCTTGGGGGTTCATGGGACTGAGACCTGGTGCCATGCAGAATTCCGCAAGGCAGGGCCCTGATAGCTTTCATACAACAGAGCGTTCTAAAGAGAGCCATCAGCCCAGCCCCTAGGAGACTTGGCGTGTCTGCAGGCAGTGTGGGAAGAGTGGTCTGAGGGCACGCTTTAAGGGGACTGCGGCCCAGTAATCACAGTGCACTGGGTACAGGGCTCAGTCTGAAGGCACACGGTGGTAGGAGCAGAGGCCGGAAAGGTGGGCCAGACCAGATTGTTGGGTGCAGGAAGGGTGGAACATAGAGAGCTGGGACTGGGCCTTGGGTTCAGGACACCCTTCTGGAGAAGGCAGCTGAGCCTGGGTGGAACCCAGGAACTCTCAGGCACTTGGACAGGAGAGAGGCGGCCAGCTTGCTAGAAGGAAGGAGATGACTAGTCCCGGAGAGCAGCACTCTGGGGGCACTGGGGCACAAGATTCAGGATAGCGTCCTCATGCTGAGATCCTCCTGGGTGACCTGGCCAGCCATGTTCCCGTGTTTGAGCCACAGCCATAGGGTGCCCAGGCTTCTCCCTGGGTGACACCAGCTTTCTGTGACTTAGACCAACATAGGGGCTGTACAGTTGCCACATAAGACCATGAAGACCTTAAGGTGGTCAAATTTTGTTGGCTGACAGTTAAATAGGTTTTATAAGCTATTATAGTGTATCTGTGTGTTGAATCCTATTAAACTTGGGTAGCAAAAAGAGGCCGGGCGCGGTGGCTCAAGCTTGTAATCCCAGCACTTTGGGAGGCCGAGGCGGGTGGATCACGAGGTCAAGAGATCGAGACCATCCTGGTCAACATGGTGAAACCCCGTCTCTACTAAAAATACAAAAAATTAGCTGGGCATGGTGGTGCATGCCTGTAATCCCAGCTACTCAGGAGGCCGAGGCAGGAGAATTGCCTGAACCCAGGAGGCGGAGGTTGCGGTGAGCCGAGATCGCGCCATTGCACTCCAGCCTGGGTAACAAGAGTGAAACTCCGTCTCAAAAAAAAAAAAAAAGAAAGTTATATGGGCCATGATGTGTCAGGAGGACAGGACTGGAAGCCCAGCCTCTGAACCACCGACAAGGCTGACAGACGGGAAATCCTCTTCCCGAAGCACTGGCACCTCCCCTTTTCCATCTCTGGGCCCCAGACAGTGGTTGGATTTGTGGGATATGTCTGTTGCCATTTACTGCGGTTAGCAAATTTGAAAATATTGGCCTGGTACAGTTGCTCACACCTGTAATCCCTGCACTTTGGGAAGCCAAAGTGGACAGATCACATGAGGTGAGGAGTTGGAGACCAGCCGGAGCAACATGGCAAAACCCCATTTGTACAAAAAAAATTAGCTGGGCCTGTAATTCTAGCTACTTAGGAGGCTGAGGCACAAGCATCACTTGAACCCGGCAGGCAGAGTCGGGATCACGCTACTGCACTCCAGCCTGGGTGACGGAGCAAGACTCTGTCTCAAAAAATAAAAAAATTTGAAAAAAAGGAAACCAGGCATGGTGGCTCACACCTGTAATCCCAGCACTTTGGAAGGCTGAAGCGGGCAGATCACAAGATCGAGACCAGCCTTACCAACATGGTGAAACCCAGTCTCTACTTAAAAATACAAAAATTAGCCGGGCGTGGTAGTACACACCTGTAATCCCAGCTACTTGGGAGGCTGAAGCAGGAGAATTGCTTGAACCCGGGAGGCAGAGGCTGTGGTGAGTCAAGAGTGCGCCATTGCACTGAAACCTGGGTGACAGAGGAAGACTCCATCTCAAAAAAAAAAAGAAAAAAAAAAGGAAAGGAGAAATTTCAGTCTAGGCAGCATAGCAAAACCCTGTCTCTACTAAAAATACAAAAAAAAATAGCAGGGAGTGTTGTCACACACCTGAAGTCCCAGCTATTCGGGAGGCTAAGGTAGGAGAATCACCTGGGCCTGGGAAGCAGAGGCAACAGTCACCTGAAATGGCACCACTGTGCTCCAGGCTGGACAACCCGAGTTGAGTCCCTATCTCGAAAAAAAGAAAATATTTATTAATTTATTTAAATATGACTATAATAGACCTGTGGCATTGGTATAAATAACTTTTTATTAAAAATCTATTTTGCAAATCTCTTTAACACTCAGCTTACTAAGAAGGCAGCTGCTAGGTTCCCCTGGCTGTGTCTGCTTCCATCCTCTTGCGATTCATTGTGAGGGTTTGAAGCCTGGTGAAGAAAATCCAGCTAGCATGGAGAAGAGGTTAGAGAGTGGAGGAGCAGTTCTGTGGGCTTTTCAGATAATTGTGCATTGCTTCCTTTAATGAGAAACCAAAAATCCAGAGTGGCGGGCTGCTACTGGTGAGTTGGCCCTTAGACTCCGAAACCTCATCAGTGAGCTTTTTGTACGTGGTTACATTAAAATATGTGGGACTCTTTTGCACTTCAAACAGAAAAATCTTTTTCTGTTTGTTCGTTTGTTTAAGATGGAGTCTCTCTCTCTTGCCAGGCGGGAGTGCAGTGGCATGATCTTTGCCCACTGCAACCTCTGCCTCCCAAGTTCAAGCAATTCTCCTGCCTCAGCCACCTGATTGGCTGGGATTACAGGTGCACGCCACCACACCCAGCTAATTTTTGTATATTTAGTAGAGACGAGATTTCACCATGTTGGCCGGGATGGTCTCAATCTCTTGACCTTCTGATCCACCCAACTCGGCCTCCCAAAGTGCTGGGATTACAGGCATAAGCCACCGCTGCCAGCCAGAAAAGTCTGTTATTAAAATTAACATTAAATTTTGGAATAGTCTAAGATTCAAAGAAGAGTTGCAAAGATCAGCCCTATAAACCCTGTCCCAGTTTCCACGTCACTAACAGACTAGGGGACATTTGTCCCAAGTAGTGAGCCGAGGTCCGTGTATTGTTACTAACCAAGTTTTTACTTTATTTTGATTTCCTCAGTTTTTTCCAGCTGTCCTTTTTCTGCCGCAGCCTCTTACATTGTATTTAGTCCTTGCTTCTCCTTAGACTCCTGGACTGTGACACTTTCTTGGACTTCCTTTGTTTTGGGTGACCTTGTCAGTTTTGAGGAGCAGTGGTCAGGTGTTCTTTAGAACATCCTGCATTGGGATTTGTCAGATGCTTTTCTCACAGGCAGGTGATGGATTTAGGGGAGGGTGACCACAGAGGGTGAAGTGCCCTTCTTGTCACATCATACCAAAGGTACTTCTGGTCCTGACTGATCATCTGGCTGAGATGCTACTTGTCAGATTTTTCTACTGTAAAGTTACTTCCCCCACCACCTTTTCCATACTGTCCTCTTTGCAAGGAAGTTACTATGTACAGCCCACTCTTTTTTAAATTTTTTATTTTTGAGATGGAGTCTCACCCTATCACTCAGGCTGCAGTGCAGTGGTACCATCTCGGCTCGCTGCAACCTCCGCCTCCTGGGTTCAAGCGATTCTCCTGACTCAGTGTCATCAGTAGCTAGGATTATAGGCATGTGCAAACACGCTTGGCTAATTTTTGTACTTTTAGTAGAGACCGGGTTTCACCAAGTTGGCCAGGCTGGTCTCAAACTCCTGGCCTCCAGTGATCCACCCACCTCGGCTCCCAAAGTGCTGGAATTTCAGGTGTGAGCCACTGTGCCCCACCACAGCCTACTCTTGAAGGATGGGAGCTCATGCTCACCTCTTCAAAGGTGAACTGTCTGGATAAATTGGGATTCTTCTGCCTGGGAGTTTATCTTTTCTTCCCCTGAATGACCTTTTACTCATGTATGAGTTTGTAATACCATTGAACGTTGGAAAATAGTAGTTTACTGAGTTACAGAGCTGTTTCAGATACACATATCATCATTTAGTGTCACAAAATCAGATTTGTCAATGTCACCATTGATCCGTTGGGAAGCTGTTAAGCTCACAGCATGTGGCAGATTCTAAGTTTTCTAAAATTCTGAGCGCTGATTATTGGAAGCTCGTACTTCATCACTGGTACAGACACCATCAGGTGCTTTCCACGAAACACGAGGCTTTGCATGAAGGGTCCCGCATGCCCCTTTCTTTATGGCGCCGTTCCACTGCAGTGTGCAACAGGAGGGCTTCATCCTGTCACACTTTGTCATGGGATACCTCAGAGACACTACTCAGAGGTTGAGGTTTAATTGCATTTCATGACTGCCCCCTGAAGTGAGTGGCGTCCCCTCCTGCAGATGAAGAAACCTGGCCTCATTGAGATTTGGTGAATGGACCAGGTCCCCTAACACCTGCAGAGGTGCATCCAGCTCTTCAGCGGTCCTCATGGGTGACTTGTGGCTGCTCTGCGCAGAGCAGCTGGAGCAGGTCTGATTGGGGTGTGGGTGCACCTAGCTGACCAGGAGGACAGATGGAAGGGACAGGTCTCCAGCCATTTGTGACGCGGATGTTTAAAAGAGGGGCAGGACGTTTCCAGGCACAGCAGGCGCTTTCCATTCATTGAGAAAGTGTGTGGTCGTCTGAGAAACAGTGCATGTTTCTTGTTCGTGGCTTTTATGAACACAGGTGACTTCTCTCTCCCTGTGTTTTGGTGAGGAAGCTGGCATCTCTCCCAGGAGATGCCTTTCAGTTCATTTGCTGTAGGGAGTCCTTCCTCCACCCTGCTTGATGAGTTCTCCCAGTGTTTCCTTCCTGGTGGAAGGTGGGCCTGGCATGGGTGCAGGGACCACAGTCAGGAAGGGAACACTGATGTTGGTGCTACAGTCAGTGGCCAGGGTTTCCCCTCCTCTCGGTCCTTTACTCTCCCCACATCAGGCCCTCAGGAGAGGCTGAGGTGAGGGGATCACTTGAGCCCAGGAGGTGGAGGCTGTAGTAAGTCTTGATTGTACCACTGCATTCCAGCCTGGGTTGCAGAGTGAGACCCTGTCTCAAAATAAAATAAAATATGACCGAGTGCGGTGGCTCATGCCTTTATCCCAGCACTTTGGGAGGCCGAGGTGGATCACTTGAGCCCAGGCGTTCAAGACCAACCTGGCCAACATGGTGAAAACCTGTCTCTACTAAAAATACAGAAATTAGCTGGGTGTGGTTGTGCATACCTGTAATCCCAGCTACTCGGGAGGCTGAGGCAGGAGAATCTCTTGAACCCTGGAGGTGAAGTTTGCAGTGAGCTAAGATTGCGCCACTGCACTCCAGCCTGGGCAATAGAGGGAGACTGTCTCAAAATAAGATAAAGATATTTGGTAACCTGAATTAGCAGCTGTCAGAACTGCCGGTCACATGGGGCCCACCCTCTCCAACCTCAGACCTCCTCTTTTGGGTTCCCCCAGGGTCCTGACACAGTGAGGGGTCCACACAGGAGCTCAGGTGCCGTAGGAACGCAGGTTGTCTGCAGGTCCCAGTGTGTGACCTTAGGAGGTCATGTGGGCCTCCCTCATGACCATTCCCTGGACTGGGAACTGGGGGTGACAATGGAGCTGTCTAGAGGATTATGTGGAAAGGTGAATTTTGGTGGTTGGCCCAGGAATGGCCATCATAAAGGCCTAGCAGGTGTTTACATGGTTTTCCAAACCTGAAAAGTTAGCTTTTCAGTTCTTCGATTCTAGTCCTTTCTAATGCATGTGTCTTCCTGTATTTCTAAGCAGAGCTTGCTGGATTTGTTGTGGCCTCCCCAGTGGTGTCAGCTGCTGGCAAGGTCAGGCTACAGGGGCTTTCGTGAGTGGGTAGAGGCTGCTGGCCCAATGAGCATGGTACCAGGATCTCCTAGGCTTGTACCTACCACCTCAGCCAAGCCACTCTGCATGCCCCCGAGACTGGCCCCTGTCACAGCATCCTCTGGGCCTCCCTGGCTGGGCCCTTTGACTTCAGGGGCTGTTGCATTCCTAGAAGGCATCCCGCCAGCACGGGCTGGCTGCCCCCTGGCTGTGCTGAAGCTGGGGGCGGGCGCTGCGTGGGGCTCCTCTGCTCTAGCTGGGGACCTGAGACCACTCCTTTTTGTACTGGTGAAAGGAGAGCGGGTGGGGATGGGCCCACAGGTCTGGGCCGGCCACACAGGCTCCCTCTCTTTTTCCTGAGCTCTTTAGCTGACGCTGTGGCAGGGCTCACCATAATGGAGTCCCAGAGCGGTCATTGGACCTGAAGTCTCCAGGAAGAAGGATGGCTGGGTTTCAAAAACCCCATCCCAGCTGCTCACCTCCACGGCCTCTGTGGCAGAGAAGCAGCATGTGTTCCGTCTTCCTGGGCCCCACAAAGCAGGCTCTGGGCTTTTCTCTCACATCCCAGCCAAGAGGAGCTCAAGTTACGAGGCAGGAGGAGTGTGAGGGATGCTAAGAAGGGAGTTGGGGGAACCACAGATGGGCTGCGGCTAGTGAGAAGCAGGTGGGTTTCAGGGCATGGAGAGGGGGTGGCTCTCGGGAGGGCAGCAGACAGCCCTCAGGAGAGGCATTTCTTCAGTTTTGGGGCAAAGCCTATGTCTGGACAAGAGTGCCCTTCCTAATGAATTGAGCATCTCTGAGTGAACACTACCCCTTAGGAAAGGAAGGAGAACTGTATGGGGTCCCTGTGAGCAGCCCCCACACCCAGGTTGCAGCGAATGCTCCCAGAACTGTATGTTGGCACACCCGCTACATGCGCCTGCCACGCAAGATACTGCCCAGACTGGCCTGGGCAACACAGTAAGACCCCACCTGTACAAAAATGAAAAATACAGTGAGCCATGATCATGCCACTGTGCTCCAGCCTAGGCAACAGAGTAAGAGACCCTGTCTCAATTGAAAAAAAATTAGCCAAGCATGGTGGTGCGTGCCTGTGGTCCCAGCAGCTTGGGAGGCCGAGGTGGAAGGATCACTGGAGCCCAGGAATTCCAGGCTGCAATGAACTATGATCACACCACAGCACTCCAGCCTGGGTGACAGAGTGAGACCCTGTCTCTAACAAAAGAAGTTGCTCAGTGGTAGGACTAACTTGGGGAACCGATGATAACTGTGTCCTTTTTCAATGACAACTGTGTCCTTTTTTTCCATCATAGGACTTCCAAGGAAGTGCTTTCTGGCTTGACTCACTTTATTCCAGGTGGTGCCTAAAGCTGAGGTGCCTCCGGGCCAGCAGAGTGTCTCCTCCTCTTCCCTGGGGCCCTCTTCACCCCATGTCATTGTTGGCAGTTCTGCTTTCCCACCTGACCTTCCTAGAACTGTTCTCATCCCAAGTCTACACCTGCCCGGGGGCACCTCTGCAGGCTGCTGTTGTTCCCTCTGTTGGGGGGGAGCTTTAAGGTTCGGCGGGTAGTTAATTGGGTAAACCATTTTCTTCCCCTTTCTCTTTCCCTGCTTTGTCCCAGGATAGCGTCTAGGGGCGGTCTAAGGGAGGAAGTGGAGTTACAGTGATATGGGTTAGCTCCCCAGGGGCCAGGCTGGGCTGTCGGCTCCATTAGCTTAGTGGTTTAAAGCAGCAAGGTATTGACGTTTTTCAGCCTGTCGGTTCTGCTAGTTGGTTGGTCCCACCCAGCTGGGCACTGCTGCTGGGGCTCTGTGGTCTTTGCAGTCCCACGTCAGCTGGACTGAGTGTCCCCAGTGGCTTCATCACTTACATGTGATGGCCAAAACAGCTGGGAGTGGCTGGACCAGTCTCCATGCCTGTCTCCATCTCCCCTGTAGTGTGGGCTAGCGTGGGCATCCAACCCCACGGTAGTTTGGGGCAGTCAGACCTCATCTCTCCTAGAGCAAGCATTCTGAGGGCCAGGCAGAAGCCACAAGGCTTCTGTGACCACACCCAAAAGTCTTATCATATCGCTACGTCTGCATTCTGTATTTTGGGATTTGAGCCATAAAACCAGCACAGGTCCAGTACTACAGGGGCTATGAATAGACCTAGCCAGAGCCTCCGGCCTCCTCAGGACTGCAGAGATGGGCAGGTGGGCGTTGCAGAGTCTAGTCCGGTGTACAGGGCTTTGTCAGCCGTGAGTATTAGGGCTCCTTCTTCATGTCCACAAAAGCTCTGGGACTCAAAGCATAGGAGTTTGGCTTCCAGGGTGTGTTGCTTTACAAAGACACATGATGACACACAATTCAGAAATCCTTGTGAGTTTCCCGTTCTTCCAGCAGCACAGCATCTGTGTGCACGAGGGAAGCAGCTGCCCACTGTGCAAGGGGGTTCATCAGTGCACAGGCGGCACTGGTCTGTCCTGAACTCAAAGCCCCAACCCTGGAAACTCCACCAAGGCAAGAGCAAGAGGTGGGCACTCCCCAGCCTTGCCAGGCCCCGAGCAGACCCAGTCTTTGCCCTTGGGGGTTGTGAATATTCAGATGTCCCATTTTCAAGACCAGTTGACTGAGATTGTCTGCTCTGTAGTGGGCTCCCACGCTCTCCTCAGAAAGCTTTCAGGTAAGGCAGATGTTTCAAGTTGACTTGTTGCTGTTGCTCCCATCTGGGAGCTGCAAGGCCAAGGTAGGGCGACTTGTTTGCTGCCCTTATCTTCCCAATGTGGGGGACCCTGGGAAGTACTTGCCTCTAAGGCCCTATAATCTGAAAGAAAAGCACTTCTGCACACTCCTAGCCCCCTGGAGGTTGCATCCTGTCACCGCGTCCATCTGGCCTCAGGAGGTCGTGGTACTGCCGCTGTCTGGGTTTTTGGGGCTGCTGGATGTGAGCAGCTGGCTCTGAAGAGGCAGCATGTGATCTGACAGCAGGCCACCCCCACCCCACCAAATGACAGCCCTGGGGCAGCTCCTGGCCAACAATTCCATCTCCTCTGAAGTGAGAATGGGACCAGGTGCGGGGACCGGGCTGGGGTCTGTCCTGGGGCTCTCTCCATCCTAGGGGCCTGCGGGGTACCTGTCAGTGCTTTCAGGAAGGTCACTGTTCCTGAGGCCCAAGCTGAGCACTTCTAGGTCAGCAAGTCTGCCTGATCCCCCTGCACCCAGCCCTGCCATCTAAGGTGCCTGATTCTCCTCAGCACCGAAGTCTCACCTCAGGCAGCCCTGAGAGGCGGCGGGACAGGGATTCCTCTCCCCTGCCATGCAGGAGCCACGGACAGGGAAGTGTCACTTGCAAGAGGCAGAGCCAAGTGAGACGCAGCTGTCTTCTGACTCACTGGGTGAGGGCTCTCTCCACAGCCTGGCTTACCTGCAGGTGTTTCAAGTCCAAGTCTGGGCAGTGGTGGCCAGTGAGCTCCAGGCCACTTCCAGCTAAAGGAGCTACTCTGTGGGAGTGTGTGGGCTCGGGGTGCAGCACCCGCACACAGCGGGCTCAGCCAGCCTCTCCCCCATCCCCAGCCATGATGGACTTAGGAGGAGATTCCTGGCTCTGAGGACACAGGGGCTGGCCCCCTCTTTGGGGCTGTGGTGTCACCCCAGGGGTGGACACCTCCTTGCCCTTTGTTCATCAGGTCACCCTGGGAACACCCTGTCCCTGGTTGGGAGCCGATGCTGTGCTGCGGATTGGGGCCATAGGTCCCTGGCTGCTGTGCCGGTGCCACACCCCCTGAAGGAGGTCATGATGGCCCCCAGCTCAGGGTTCGGGATCCTGCTTGTCAGACAGGTGCTGACATGTCACCCTGCAAGGCGAGGGTTGGGGGTGTTGCGCAGGGAGCCAGAGGCACTTAGAAGGGCTTGCTAGGCTGACAGTGGGTGGGCCAGTCACTGGGCTGGGTGCGGCTAAGGAAAGAGACCCACCAGCCAGCCCTTCTTGGGAAGTGAGGGGGTTTCTGCTCAGATCTGTACTCTGCTGAGGGGAACCCTGAGTTCTGCCATGACCTTCATCTCGGGGAAGCGGGACAGGGGCGGCTTCCTGGGGCATGTTGGAGAGATGTTCTGCAAACGGAACAGTGTATGTGGAGGCATGGCAGGCCGTGGCTGTGGGCCAGGTCCCAGGAGGGCGGGGGATGTGAACTGCTTGGTTCATGTTGCGTAGGGCTTAGTGAGCCCAAGATGAGTCTTTGCACAAGGGACAAGTGGTCTGGTAGGGCTGGTGTTGGATCTAGCAGAGCCCTTATCCCACCTTTGCACACAGCCGGCAGCCCACCCTGCTAGGCCTGAAAGAGGAGAGGAGGAAAGGTTCTAGAGGGAAATGGTTGTCTGGCTGGAGAAGGCGTTGCTGGGCCCTGCCTCCTCCAGTCAGCCTGGAGGAGGATTACTTGGCCCGAGGCCTCATCAGGCTGCAGGTCATGGTCATCCCCAACTTCCCTAGTGTGTGCAAGACTTGGGGGATCTTGCTGAAATGCAGACTTTGATCAAGCAGGTCTGGGGCAAGGAGGACATGCTGCATTTATACAAGTTCTGGAGAAGCTGCTCTGCTGCTGTGGCAGTGACAGCAGTGGTCTGACATTCACAGGTCCAGCCCTGAGCACAACTATGGCCTCGCCCGCCAGCGGCCCCTCCTGTCTTGTTTTTGTGTCTGTCCATCCTGGTAGACTGAACCCTAAGGACAGAACCTAACTTTATTCAGAGGTTCCCCCCACTGCATGCTGCAGCACCTTTTTCTACTTTTTTTTTTTTTTTTTTTTTTTTTTTGAGACAGAGTTTTCACTCTTGTTACCCAGGCTGGAGTTCAATGGCGCGATCTCGGCTCACCGCAACCTCCGCCTCCCAGGTTCAGGCAATTCTCCTGCCTCAGCCTCCTGAGTAGCTGGGATTACAGGCACGTGCCACCATGCCCAGCTAATTTTTTGTAGTTTTAGTAGAGACGGGGTTTCACCATGTTGACCAGGATGGTCTCGATCTCTTGACCTCGTGATCCACCCGCCTCGGCCTCCCAAAGTGCTGGGATTACAGGCTTGAGCCACCGCGCCCGGCCTACTTTTTTTTTTTTTTTAATATATATATAGACATGGGGTTTCACTATGTTGGCCAGGATGGTCTCAATCTTCTGACCTTGTAATCCACCCACCTCTGCCTCCCAAAGTGCTGGGATTACAGGTGTGAGCCACCACACGCAGCCAGCACCTGCTTTTTAAATGAGCTCTCAGCAAATGTGAGTGAGGAATGAATGAATGAATGAATGAATGAGGGAGAGGGGGATGAAGTGTGCCTTTCCTGCATACCAAATAGGGCTGTTCAGAGAAGCACAAAGGTCCCAGCCTCCAAGGACAACTCCTTCCTGGCACGGGCTGAGGGGACACTAAATATTAACCACGTACTGACCACTGGTTGGTGAGCAGCTGAAAGCCATAATCTTGTGCTGTGGAAGTGGGATCGTGTCTCGATTGAAGTTTATAATCCTGGCCTCTCCTCCAGGAAACTCTACGGAAGTTCCTGGCAGGTAACAGAATTTCTGTGCTTGTGAGGTCAGGGCTGGTGCCAGCGTTGGGGTCGGGGGTGAGACCATTTACGCTGATAACAGCCTGGCCTGCTTCCGGGCATTTTTGTAGGTCATGTAAAAGCTCTTGATCACTAAGTTTTACTTTAAAGCTTCTCAAGGTGGTCAGGACAGGCTTATGGGATTTGCCCTGAAATACAACGTCACTTCCATATAAACTTGGTGCCCGGACGGCCGCTGTGGAGTGAATGATAGATGCTGTCCCTGGGCCATGATGCCATCCCTCCCAGCATGTTGGGCTAGATTGCCACTGCTTTTGTTTAGACAGTTTTTATAATTAAATTATTTCCCTAAAATAATGCCTGCGATCATTTTGAGCCACATGCTTTTTCCTGAATTAAACTCTCTTTTAAAAAGTATTGAGACTCTCTGCTTTAAAAAGTGAGCTTAACAAAGTTTTTCGTTTTAGAAACTTAGAAGGGCCAGCAGCCCCCTGTGTGCAGTGTGTGTAGAGGTGGCTGGCGCCTGTGGTGCAGTGACAGCCCCATGTGGGCCGGCACCACACAGGAAGTGCCTGCAGTTCCACAGCCCTGGGGTGAGCCTGGCGCCTCCATTTTCTGACAGCACCTGAACCCTTACCTCCCTTCTCAAAATGAAGGCTGCGTGTCACAAACCGGTTGGAACTGGCCGTTGCCATGGTTTTCATGTTGGAAGGCACAGTTAAAGGGTCATGTGACCAAGGAGGGAAATGCCTTTGTCACATGACTTTTTGGTGGCCTGATTAGCATACAGGAAGTTCACTCCCTGCTGGCTGCTGGGATGCTGAGGATCATTGATGGGTGGTGACATCATCTCTTGGATGAGTTATTGATTAGTCGCAGGCCAAGATGGGGCCAGGGAGCGGCCTGGTCAGAGCAGCCCTCTCAGGCAGCTTCAGCTGCTAGGTGTTCTGGACCCTTCGTCTGCCCTCTTCCCTTAGGCAGATTTGAATTTTATTAGACATCTCACCTCTGGAAGAAGCACATACCCACAATAAGATGATAAGTGTTAAGTCCCTTATAGCATGTCATTTCATTTTGGCTTGTGCTGGCCCGGGAAGTGTATCTGTAACTCTATACAAGGCGCTGCCTTGGCCCCCTGCTCCCAGTTCATTTTGGGTGGAGGCCAGCAGCTGCAGCTCTGTGCTGGAGCCTCGGGACCGCCTGCCTCTGAGGTGCTTAGTGTGTGTGCATGTCCAGGGAGCCTGGAATTAGAGCCCTGAGGTCACCTTGAAAGTCGATCTTGGGTGGCACGGGGCCAGCAGCAAGGAGAGACATGCAGGTGGGGTTTGCTAAGACCTGAGTGAGGTGCCCTGGGTTACTTTAGAAACAAACTACCTGGTTCTGGACTTAGAATGTGGCTGATAACCCCTTGCCTGGAGGATTGTATATTTCAAAATGGCACCTTTCTGTCCACGCCCAGGTCTCTGGTGAGAAGTTGGCTGGATCAGGGATAGGACCAGCATTCAGGTACAGCTGCCACGTGGCTCTGATGGGTGGAATTAGGAGGGCCCAGAGGAGAGCAAGTAAAGCGGTTCCGGAGTCTGGCATCCGGAGTCCAGGGTAGCGTTGGTCAAGCCTCAGCCTCTGGTGCTCTGTGTCCGCCCTTTCCTGAGGACGCAGCTCACTTGGGTGTGGAGGGGACCTCAGAGGTCCTGAAGGCTGCTAGAGCAGAGTCACGTTCTTCATCCTTGAGACTCTCCTTAACCCTGCTGGGGTCTAATTATCAACTAGACCCTGGCAGAGTAAGAGCTGGGACAACTTTGAGTTGTGGCTCCCAGTTAACTTTGTCTGAGCTTGTTCTCTGGGTCACAGTGCCACCTAGAGGACGAGTTCTGTCCTTGGCTGGTTTTCCTGCTGACTAAAAACGACCAGATTCACTCTGATGAAAGAAAGTATAATGGGCCAGGTTCGGTGGCTCATGCCTGTAATCCCAGCACTTTAGGAGGCCAAGGCGGGCAGATCACGAGGTCAGGAGTTCAAGACCAGCCTGGTCAATATGGCAAAATGCTGCCTCTACTAAAAATACAAAAATTAGCCAGGCATGGTGGCATGCTCCTGTAGTCCCAGATACTCAGGCATCTGAGGCAGAAGAATCGCTTGAATCAGGGAGGCAGAGGTTGCAGTGGGCCAAGATTGCACCACTGCACTCTAGCCTGGGCAACAAAGCAAGACTCCATCTCAAAAAAAAAAAAAAAAAAAGTGCAATGAACTCAGATCTTCAGGGACGGTTGCCTTGTGCCGTCAGCAAATGGAGCCACTTAACTAGGGACAAAGTACCGTCTCTGGGACTTGGGTTAGGCTAATGACACCACAGCAGGTCATCAGCCCTGTGCCTTCAGTAGTGTCAGATGTACACATATATCCTAGAGGATCGTTCGCAGGAAGAGGAAAATCATACTGATGTGTTCCTGCCTGGGTCAGATGACGTGGGGGTGCCGTGAGCACTTAGCTTGGAGCCTGTCCTGCAGTAAGCATAGAATGGATGTTCACTGTTACCCGGTTCTGATGAAAAACAGCAGCTCATCAGCTGTACTTTTAGACATTTGTGACCATATTTTGACAAAATAACAAAAATGGAAAGCCTACAAGTACTTCCCCTGATTGTATCATGATGCAATTTGAGCTGGGACGTAACGGAGTGGGCAGGAGGGTGACAGTCCATGAGTAGATCAGGCAGGTGGAGAGTCTCTGGTCTTTGAGAGAACTTGTATCCTAGTCAGTTTCAAAACAGATAGCTGCTGCCGCCGTGTGGAACCCAAGAAGGGCCATCTAGCACCTGGTGCCACCTTGTGAGCAAGCCGTCAGCCTGTGGACACACCCCTCAGTCTTCTGGGGACAGGTTGGCTGCCAGGCGTGAGGGCTATTGGCCTGCCTAGGTTGAGAGAGAAGAAAGGCTGGTTTATGAAGGGAGCTGGGCTCCCCCTCAAAGGGTTTCTACTATGGACAGGAGCTGCCGCTGGTGGTGAGGTACACACATCCCATCAGACGCGGCATGCACAAGCCCCACCAGGGGCTACCACTGAGCAGGGCCCCAGGATCCAGAGCCGAGTATTTTAACTACTCTGAGCCACATGGTAGAGGGAGTGGCCATGTTTTCCGAAGTACCATGTCATGCTCAGGGGGCATACACACCCTCAGTCCCTACCATCGAGGTGTCCTCCTGGGCACTGGGATTGGGCGCCCTATGATGTGTGGGTAAGAGAATGGAGGCAGCCCGGGTGCCATGGGGTGGGGCTGGGAAAGTGGAAGATGACCAGGAGAGAGCCGGCTGTGCAGGGGCAGACAGAGGTAGCAGCCAGGGAGGTCACAGCTCCCTGCCATGTGTCCACAGGGTGGGTGCTGGGTCCAGTTGTCAAGGGCCCTCTGGTCACTATTGTCTCTACCCCACAGTGACATGAAGTCGGAGAGGAGACCCCCCTCACCTGACGTGATCGTGCTCTCCGACAATGAGCAGCCCTCGAGCCCGAGAGTAAATGGGCTGACCATGGTGGCCTTGAAGGAGACCAGCACTGAGGCACTCATGGTGAGCCACGTGGTGGTGCTGCTGCCAGAGCCCCGCTGTGCCCTGCCCACTCACGGCGCCCTCAGGTGGAGCTGGTGACGGCGGGGCCTCTGCTCCCCACCAAGGCCACTCCTCCTCAGCCCTGTTCCTCTTACCTCTGCAGAAGAGCAGTCCTGAAGAGCGAGAAAGGATGATCAAACAGCTGAAAGAAGAGTTAAGGTTAGAAGAAGCAAAACTCGTTTTGTTGAAAAAGTTGCGGCAGAGTCAGATACAAAAGGAAGCCACTGCCCAGAAGGTGCGTGCCTGTCATCCTCCCTGCGCGAGCAGGAGCCCCTGCCCTTGCCTTGACCCCCTCATCCATGTCAGGGGCCAGAAAGGTGAAAGGGCTTCCTTGAGGGAGTGTGGGTCAAGGTCCCGCTCCCCCATTTGTGGAGTGGCGGGTGTGGAGGATGACTAGGAGAGAGCCGGCCATGAGGGGCAGACAGGGAGCAGCCAGGGAGTCGCAGCTCCCTGCCATGTGTCCACAGTGGGCACTATGTCTATTTTGTGTTTGGCTAAACGTTAAGTGAATTCCTGGATCTGAGGGTCTAAAGCTCACTTCTTAGACAACAGGTGTCAAGGAAGTGGAGCACAAATGTCTGGTGCCGCTGGAAGCACGTTCCTGGATGAAGAGCTCTGTCCAGAAAGGCCACCTGGCCTGTGGGTGCAGGGGATGCCCCAGCCTCTGCTGTCCTCCCCACTGCTGTGCGTCTCGGTCTCCTCCCAGCTAGACGTGTGCTGAGCTCCCATGGAGCTCGGCCCCAACTCTCAGGGGGCCCTGCTTCTGTTCCTCCTCCTTCCCTGGAGCCCGAAGCTCGCCGTTGTGCTGCTTCTAGATGCAGCTTTAATGGGCAGCAAGGTTAAGTTTATTTTGTTAGGCTTTCTGAGGGCTCTGTTCTGGGAAATTCCTACCTCCCAAGCACTTCAGTCATTGTCTCAGTGAACCAGAAAGTGTGTGTGTCCTGGGCAAGAGCTGAAGGAAGAACCAGACTCTCCCTGCCTTGGCTTGGGGGTTTGTTTTTTGACCCTCCCCCCCGCCCCCCACCTACCTGGTTAGCAAGTGGGTTGGAAAGAGCCTGCCTGTTTCTTTTTTTCTGTTTCCTGTCACTTGCTAAAAACTCATTGAGGGACACCACATCTGTCACTGACCCTTCTCTAATGGAACATGCAGCTTTAAAAAGTGCCCAGAGCCACCGTTTTCTCACAGTGATTGAGATCTCCCTGTCTACTGGGCCATGGGTCCTTTGCCTCAGCAGCGCTGCTGCTGTCAGCCATTCTGTCCCCTGGAGAGCACAGGGGGTGCCCAACACTGCGTGGGTGTCAGGGAGCAGCCAGGAAGTGATGCTGAGAGCCAGGGGTGGCGCTGCTGGAAAGTCTTTCCTAGGCCCATGTAGAAATTGTCACCTCCTGCCGCAGACTGGGTCATTTTCAGCCTTCAAGCAGAACCTCTGAGAGCCTGATGCCGTAGAGGAGGAAGTCAGTCCTCTTCGCCAGCATTAAATCTTGGTGCCTCGTGGCCCCTGACCTCCTGGTGTCTTGCTCTCTCGCAGCCTGCAGGCTCTGTCGGGACCACCGTGACTACCCCTCCCCCGCTTGTTCGGGGGACCCAGAACATTCCTGCTGGCAAGCCATCACTCCAGGTCAGTGTCCTGTCTGCATCTCCATGGGGGCCCTGCCGGCACTGCTGCTATCAAGAACAGGCCTCTTGGGCTCCCTTACAGCCCAGAGGAAGAAGCACATACGAACTTCCCGAGCCCTACAGCCCAAAGTAGGCCACTATTGATGTCACAGACAGAAATCATGGCCAACACTGGAAGGGAGCCTTCCAGTGAGTGCCCCTGGCAAGTCTGATCTCCCTTCATGTTGACTCTTTGGGCCAGAGAGCCTCCTCCCAGGGCCTCCAGGTGAGGGCCAGAAGCTTTCTCCCAGCTACATGGCTGAGGTTGGAAGGGACCCTCCTGCCCCTTCCTCTCAAACAAGCCTCCCAGCTTCCTCTAGGGGGTGGCAATGCCCATCCTGCCTTGGGTGGGCCAGTGTCACGTGGGAATGAACTGCCATGTGGGTGGGACCCACTCAGAAGTGAGCCCAGGTTTGCATGGCTCTGGATGGAGTCACTATTCCTTGTTCCAATGTTTAGAATAAGTAGTCATCTTTGCTAATTTTGTGTTACACATTTGCCTTGAGTGTTAGTTTGTTTGAGACAGGGTTTAGTTCTGTCACCCAGGCTGGAGTGCAGTGGCGCGATCTAGGTTCACCGTAGCCTCTGCCTCCTAGGCTCAAGCCATCCTCCTGCCTCACCCTCCCAAGTAGCTAGGATTACAGGCACACACCACCACGCCTGGCCAATTTTTCTATTTTTTGTAGAGATGGGGTTTTGCTGTTACCCAGGCTGATCTCAAACCCCTGGGCTCAAGAGATTCACCTGCCTTTGCCTCCCAGTGTGCTGGGATTACAGGTGTGAGCCACCATGCCCAGCCAGCTAATTTTCTTTTTTAATTTCTCTGCTACTTAGAAAAAAAAAAAATAAATAAGTATGTGCTTTCATAAAAGCAGCAAACCTGCATGTTTTAAAATAAAAAAGGGGGGGTGTCCATGTAAATCTGGGTCTTGGTGTCTTTGACAGACCTCTTCAGCTCGGATGCCCGGCAGTGTCATACCCCCACCCCTGGTCCGTGGTGGGCAGCAGGTGTCTTCGAAGCTGGGGCCACAGGCAAGCTCCCAGGTCGTCATGCCCCCGCTCGTCAGGGGGGCCCAGGTGAGCAGGGCGGTGCACACTGGAGAGGCCTGGCAGCCTCAGCAATCATCTCCTTCGAAAATAGGACCCTTACCAGTCCTTGGGGCCAAGGTGCCCTACACCTTCGGGCCCCCCTCCATTGTTGATCTCAGTTGAATTTTTTGTTCTCCCCACCCTACCCCAACAGCAGATTCACAGCATTAGGCAACATTCCAGCACAGGGCCGCCGCCCCTCCTCCTGGCCCCCCGAGCGTCAGTGCCCAGTGTGCAGATTCAGGGACAGAGGATCATCCAGCAGGGCCTCATCCGCGTCGCCAACGTTCCCAACACCAGCCTGCTTGTCAACATCCCGCAGGTAAGGGCTGCGCCACACCACACCAGGGAGAGTGTAGGTCCCACCTGTGACCGCTCCCCTTTGGCCCAGGTTCTGGAGGCACAGTAGTGTCTCCCTAGTCTGTGTGGTGTGACCTGCCTGCTTCCTCAGAGCCAGGCAGGGGTTTGGACTTGAGTTCCTGGGGGCCACAGGGCTGTGTGGGTGGTGGGCACAAGTTTTGTGGGCAGACTTGCCATCCAGCACAGGTGGGCAGCTGCCAAGTGGGGCGACACACAGACCTGAGCTGAAGGTGGGGTCTGCTCACCAGCTCCATGGCCGAGGAAACAGCATGTGGCACACAGCAGGTTTAGGGGGATAGTCAAGGCCCGGGAGAGGCCGGTGATGGGCCTGGATGCCTCAGGGGGCACTGGAGCCCATGCCGCCCTCCCAGCAGTGGCTTCTTCCAGTCGCCTCGTCAGCAAATGTTCTCATGGCACCAGGCGCATCTATTCTTAGTAGCGTGTCCCTTCACCTCTGTACAGAGTCTCTGAGATGGGGAGGGTCTGTCCCCACCCCCAGAAAGTAGGGTAGGATGGGAAGAGCAGGACCCAGGGGCGGGCAGGCTGGAAGCAGGCACCCTGGCTGACAGATAAAATTACCAGCTCTGCAGGGGCTTTTGCTCGTGGGCATGTTTGCTGGTGGGCATGTTCGCTGTTTCTTCCCTCTTTGGCACAGTTTGTTCTTGCGCGCCCTTCTCAGACAAGAGCAAGGCTCTGGGCAGCGTCCCTGCCTGCTTTCAAAGGTCAGTTTGAGTGCAGAGAAGACCAATCCTGGACTGACCCAGGTAGACAGTGAACTTTTTTTTTTTTTTCCTTTTTTTTTTTTTGAGTCGGAGTTTCATTCTTGTCACCCAGGCTGGAGTGCAATGGCGCGATCTCGGCTCACCGCAACCTCCGCCTCCCGGGTTCAGGCAATTCTCCTGCCTCAGCCTCCTGAGTAGCTGAGATTACAGGCACGCACCACCATGCCCAGCTAATTTTTTGTATTTTTAGTAGAGACGGGGTTTCACCATGTTGACCAGGATGGTCTCGATCTCTTGACCTCATGATCTACCCGCCTCGGCCTCCCACAGTGCTGGGATTACAGGCTTGAGCCACCGTGCCTGGGCTTTTTCTTTTTTTTTAGACAAAGCCTCATTCTGTTGCCCAGGCTGGATGGAGTGCAGTGGTGCAATCTCAGCTCACTGTAACCTCCACCTTCCAGGTTCAAGCGATACTCCTGCCTCAGCTTTCTGAGTAGCTGAGACTAGAGGCACCTGCTTCCACACCCAGCTAATTTTTTTATTTTTAGTAGAGACAGGGTTTCACCATGTTGGCCAGGCTGGTCCCGAACTCCTGACCTTAAGTGATCTGCCTGACTCAGCCTCCCAAAGTGCCAGGATTACAGGTGTGAGCCACCGTGACTTGCCCTCCTGTGAACTT